AATTGTATTGTTTTGATTAAAACTAAAGCTGATCAAAAATGATAATGATGTTGAAGTTCATCCATGAGCTGAACTCAAAGCCGTCAATCAAGGTCAAACCTTTTATTATGTGGGCATGGTTTAGAAAACTTCATGCAAGACAGCAGAATTTCCACTTTAGGGAAGAGCTATCCACCAAAGTGTGCTGTACAGCAAGCCAAAAAGGCCAAAGTACTCCACTTCCAAACTGAATGACCTGATTCATTCTATGCAATGGGATTCTGGGATTGTTTAAATTACGCACAAGAAGTTTGGTTTACACAATGGGGGGTAAGGAAATCCAGTGTTGCATCAATTGTTCACCAAGATCTTGCATTGATGACGGTAGGGTCTGACCGCTGCACAAATTCTTCTCCAGTACATCTCAAAAGATTCTCAACAGGGGTCTGGACTCTGTGGTGGCCAATCTATGTGTGAAAATGGTGTCTCATGCTCCCTGATCCACTCTTTCACTATTTCAGCCCAGTGAATCCTGGAATTGTCATCTTAGAATATGGAAAAGGCATCTGGGCAAAAATTATCTGATAACTAAGACTTGATGACGTGTTTTGACCCGCTCAGGACTAGTGTGGTTCATTGCAATAAAGCCAGCCTCCACTCACCGATTCACGGTAAAGTGAGCCCTCACTTGATTTTGCTAGATGCACACATTCACAGCATTACGGTAAAAGGTCAGGTCACTGTTTTTCTAAGTAAAAGCCCATCTCAGAAATGTATTTTCTGACTATTAATAAAACTTACAAAAATGGAATTCAAAAGTTACCAAATTACAGTTATATCGCCATTTTAACAGATATTTAACAATATATATTACAAATGGTGGAAATGCCTAAAAAACAAGTTTTGACAATCCTTTAAAAAAAATTTCTATAACTCCATAGAGCTCGGGGAGTTGACGTCACTTCTCCCGGCATGCAACAGTTCAAATCGAAACGGCGCCATATTGGCAGGTAGAAGCCGGCAGCTGGACTATTTGTTATTGTCAGAAAACTCAATCAAACGGGAAAAATGGCAGATTCCTGTTGTGCCCCAGGATGCAGAACAGACGCGGACGACATAAGGAATGAGCCATCTACAGGATTCCCCAAGATCCGGAGCGCCGCAAACGTTGGATCATTGTAATAAAACGCGCTAGTGACCGGGCTAAAATGAAGCTGTGGGATCCCGAGAGTAAAGGTTTTCGCTTATGCAGCGACAGCTTCATATCAGGTACTTAAACCAACGTTTCCTCAACTGTGTATGGTATTTATTGTAAATGCTTTTATTACGATTCTTAGTGGGCTTCCTAAACTTATTTTGGCGTGGCTTTTTCTGTCTTATTACTCATAGCAGCAAGTAAATATCACGTAAAACGTTGCCTCGTGAGTTCTGCGTGCTGCCGTTTACGTGTTTTATGATCACAGCAATTAACCGGCTAAGCTGTATTTAATTTTTAAGCAATGGTTGATCAATTGTCAGATCACACATAAAAAGCACTTTGGATTGTTATTATCTGTCTCACCGAGACAGATCTCAGACAGATCCTGAGACGCTCCTGCCTGGCATATTTATTTTATTCACGGAAAAAAAAATCTAACTAGTGATTTCTCTTGGCGTTCAGTTTATACATTCAAACAGCACAGCACTCTATTTAAACTACTTACGTGTAAATCTGTTATTTGTCCATCCATCCATTTTCATCCGCGTATCCGGAGTCGGGTTGCGGGGGCAGTAGCGTCGAGAGTCCCAGACTTCCCTCTCCCCAGCCGCCTGAGCCAGCTCCTCCGGGTAAATCCCAAGGCGTTCCCCGGCCAGGTCCGGTAAGAAGTCCGCTCCGACAGCTTCTGGTGTTTTTACAAAGTATCCCAGGGACACGGTAAGGGTCGGAGATGTTTAGTCTATTTAATTTCTGACTATATAAAACGATTTCTTCGGTTTTAAAGAGTGAAGTAAACACCGACGAAGTAAAATCCAAGCTGATCCCGTTCACATTCATGGTTAAGATCCGTGTTTGTTTAGCTTCTTTTACCTGCCAATATGGCGTCTACTGAGAGTCACGTGGGGTCCGGAGCTCTATAGGGATATAATACTATATTACAATTCGACAACCTCTCGTCATTCCTGTAAAACTTCAATCAGCAGTTTATTTTTATTTATAAATGATGCGCCAAAAACCTATACATATTACAAGCAAAACTCCAGAATACCTAAATAATCTCTGTTATCTTCTGGTGTGAAAGAGTGAAGAGTCGACCACCATTAGTTCCATCACAGGAAGTGTAATCAACATCTGATGTGGAATTTTAAAATAACATCCATATTAAAATGGTTATAAATCATTCATTCCTCTACTTTGAATATTTTTTTTTAAATCCCCCTGTTACGCCAGCATCTGGTGTGGACAGATGAGCACTAGAACACCTCTAGTTCTTATAAAAATTGATTCATCCAAATCTGATGTGGAATTTCAAAATTAAACCTCTTTGAAATTGGTTATAAATCATTCAGTCCTCTAATTTGAAAAAATGTTTAAAAGAAACTGTCCTGCTATACCAGCATCTGGTGTGGACAGATGAGAACTAGAACACCTCTAGTTAGTATCAAAATAAACTGTTGAATTAATTGTCACAGGAATAATGAGAAGTTGTCAAATTGTAATTTAGTATTAAATCACTATGGACTGATAAACATATTTAAAAAGGACTGTCAAATCTTGTTTTTAGACATTTCCACCATTTGTAATATATTTTTTCAATATATGGTAAAATGGTGATATAACTATAATTTGGTAACTATTGATTTCTATTTTTAAACATTTTTAAACTAATCAGTCAGAAAATACAGGCTTTTATTTTGAAAAACAGTGGCCCACCTTTTACCGTAAAGCTGTGAACACGTGTGCCAAGCAAAATCGAGTGAGGGCTCACTCGATTTTGTGAATCGGTGAGTGGAGGCTGGCTTTACCGCAATAAACCACACTGGTCCTGAGCGGGTCAAAACACATCATTAACTCTAAGTTATCGTGTATTTTGTGCCTAAAAGCCTTTTGTTTCCCTTGATGAAATATCTGCAAATAACGCAAGTTACCCTGTTGGCATCCTTTCTTGTAAAGTATAACCAAACTTTTGAGTGTTTGTGCTGCTTAGACGTCATGTTTCCTGCTTCTGTAAGCTATACGCAATGTGCGTGATGATGATGGTCATTTGTGCTGACTGGAATTGAAAAGGGGAATCATTTGCAAAAGTGCCAAACAAGTTCTAGGAATTGAAAAAATGCCAACCAGTTTTCAGCAAGAACCAGTTTTTGATCCCCAACCAAAGCTATCAGGGAAAAAGTAATCCATTGATGGAATAACCTGGTCATTCAGTATATTCAGGTAGTCATCTGACCTCATTCTTGGAGCACATCCTGTTGCTGAACCTAGACCTGACCAACTGCAGCCACCCCAGATCATAGCACTGCCCCCCCACATGCGTGTAGGTAATAGGCATGATTACTTTTGGAAAATGTACCCAAACATTAGTTGTTGGTTTTTTTTTAGCTTTTTGCATGCATCACTTCATTTGCCTCTCTTCTTGCTCTGCATTTTTAAAATTTATTTTATTTTATGAGGATTTTGAATAATTTTTTAGCCTTTTTCATTTTGTAAATTTTTGTTCTTGTGAATGGCCTTGTGATTTTTCCCATGAGAGTTGCTACATTAAGAGATCTTTTCTTCTTCTTCACTATCCTTCCAGTTTTTAATAATGCGTCGGACAGTTCTTAACTCATTTTTAATAGTTTCTAGTATGACCTGCCAGACTCTCCCACTGTCTGTTCTACACAGTCATTGACATGGCTAGCCAGGCTAAGTTTCTGCAATCTCCTTAGATGTTTTGGCTGCCTGATGCATCCCAATTATTTGGCCCTTCTCAAACAGACACTTTCCATAACCATGAGATGTGTCTCCACATGGTTGTTTAAGAAACCAGAAGCAACTATTTGCACCCAGTTGGAGTTAAATAACTTGTTGCCAGGTAAAAGATAATCGCCTATGCAGTGATTGTTTAGTAAATCCAGGTGGCAATTTTTTTATGGCCAGGCAGCGTACAAGCGCCCTCTGCTGGAAATTGTACGCCATCACACATTTAAGGACATGAAACAATTCGAAATCAGTGCTCACTCAGTATTTTGTTTGAATACAACAAAATTGTTTAATTTGCAAATTGATTTCAATTAGATTAGCAGGTTAAATGTTATGTAATGATCTGTAAAATGCAAAACGAATAATGCAGTTCAATACAAGCTCACTATATTAGAGATGAATAGGTTCTTTGTTTTTAATTAGTTATTTGGACTATTACAATGGTGCATATATACATTAAATTAAATAAGATATGTAAAGTATGTGTAGTCTTATAAACAGACAAAACACGTCACTATAGAGATTGAAAGTGACCACTGTAAACTGTGCTTCTCATCACTGCATCTACAAAATACCGGTAACACTCTTTCTAGATGTCATTAATGCTGTGTTCTGAAAAGGGTAAGGGACCATCTGGCTTGTTATCAGCACAGTTCAAAGGCCAGCTTTGGAAACAAAAACACATGAGTGAACTTTAGTGCACATGGGTAGCAGCAAATGTAGATCTGTCAATAGCACCATCAGAGCAACGTATGTTTAGCCTGGCAAGCCAGACTAAATAATAATAATAATTATTATTATTATTATTATACTTCTTGTTATTATCATTGCAATTTATTATCATTTAATTTTTGCAAGGCAAGATTGTGATCTAGTTCACTAGGCTAGGCTGCCATCCCAGTGTAGTTTCTTTTGTGGAAGTATTACCCATCCTGTGTGTGTGTGTGTGTGTGTGTGTGTGTGTGTGTGTGTGTGTGTGTGTGTGTGTGTGTGTGTGTGTGTGTGTGTTAAATGACAGCGTCGCCAATCGATACTGCCTGTGGTTTTAAAATACACACACGCTACATAATCTGCATTTAGATTAATAAAAATAATATCTCAGCCTTTAGTTCTTGGAAACAAAGTTATAAACCAGCCCGATAATAATCCTGAACGACATTTGGTGTGTGTGAGCTAGATTTAACCCGGAGCTGAGTGACATGTGCGCTGCTTCCACCTCTGTGTGGACAGACGGAGACGCGACTGGACATGCATGTACAAGTGACTGCTGCTGGATATTCGCGGATTATGATGGACTGAGATCAGGGAAAATGGAAGCGTGACTGGATGCTTATTACAAGACGCCAGGTAGCGAATCATTAATAAAAATGTAACGGTCTCATCGAGGAGCTTCTCTTGAGTCTCGGCTTTCACTAATGTTAGCCACGAGCAAACTAGCTTCACCAGTTAGCTAATTTTATCCCGCTGTTTTAGCCCCGCTGCTGGGATCACGCTAGCTCCACTGGCTCTTTAGTTTAAGCTGATGATCTGATTTGAAGTGCGAGCGAAAGTTTGAGATCGCTCGGCTGAAACAGGTCCTACAACGCTCGGCATAGCACAAGTAGCTAGCGGTACATTTTTAGCATAGCTAACATGCAGGCATGTGTGCTAGGACTGATTTAGGACGCGCTGTGGTTAAATAATGCCGAAGAAGACCTGACATCACATAGTTCGAGTCGTAGACTTCAAATCATTTCTGGTTCGTGTTCACTTACATTAAAACGAATGTTTTCACAGTAAATTTGCCATTAACGGCTAGTTATGTTGTCTACACGTGCGCTGTGCGTGTGTCGCGAGCTCGTCATGACAGCAGGTTTGATTCATTCTGAGACCATGTTGACATTTAGTCTGATTTCTTTAATTTTCCACACAACTATATACTAAAACATCGAGCCCGTACATGTAAACTAGCTTTGAGCTCGTTATAACTAACTTTCCCGAGCCCGACCGAAATAATGCGTCTCACTCAGTGGGTGTTCAGACGTTTTTAGCATTTCAGCTTTTTATTAGAACTAGGGCTGCCACAAACGACTATTTTATTAGTCGACTAGTCGCCAGTTTGGTAACGGTTAGTTGCGACTAATCGTGTCATTCATAAAAGTATAGCTTGTTGTAACAGGATGCTGTATGTGTGATCAGTTATGTGCCATCTAATAATAAAGATAATAGCATTCAGTGAATTTTGTTGCAACAATGTCAAACAGATCAGACGTAAGCAACTAAAAACTAAAATACAAAAAAGACTTGAGCTCACATGAAATGTATCCAGCTGCTAAATAATCACACAAGGTCCCGGTTTACACTCAGGAAAGTTAGCATTTCCACATGTTCAGGAGAAAGGCTTGCTCTCTTCTGAGAGCAGATGTCCCCAGCTGCAGAGAAGATCCGCTCAGATGGCGTTGAAGTGGCAGGGATGCACAGAAACTTGAGCTGGAGTGTGCATCCAGCACACCGGATAGAGGCCCATCCATGTTTCTCTTCAAGCAGTCTCATTGCTACCACCATATTTGACCCACTGTTATGAACTACTGCTTTTATTTTTAACAGGCATGATTTCACACTTAGCTAAAGCCTCTTCATTCCAAGTCATTATATTTGTGCCTCTCTTCTAGAGGCATGGTGGCAAGTTTGAAGCTTTACATGTTCCAGTCTTTGCAGGCGAGATTTTAAAAATGCTCATACAAAAAACGACGCTTTGACTATTAAATCGTCGACCTTTTTTTTTTTTTGTCAACATCGTCGTGACGCGTCGACTAGTCGTGGCAGCCCTACAACTCTGGGTAACTTTATATGGATTCTGTCCAGTGATGCTAGCTGGCCCCAACATCAGTTTGTGCTTTCAAATATAAGAGAGTAGGTCAGTCGTAAAGGAAATGTCTTATCACCCGGACATGTCTAAGAAATTACTAAAGAGAAAAACTAACAAACACATGTAAACAAAGGGCCAAAATTTCTTATTTAAAACAGGTTTTCTTTTGTTTAGGACCTGTTGATGCCTAGAAACATTCATATATTAGAGGTATGAAGACAAACATTTTCAAAAAATACCAGAAAATGGAGTAAAAGCGGTGAAAAACGCTTCCAAAACCCAAAGACATTTAGAAAATCTTTAAAATTACTGAAGAAATGTTGCTGAATTGGAAGTAAAAAAAATGAAACCAAGAGGGTCTGACTGAAGACTTTAGCACACAGAAAATGACCCTCCACACATGCTCATTTGATCACATGTGAAGGGAAAGAATGTTTTAGTCATTAAAAAGGAAAATGACAAAACTGCCAACATGACAGGAGCTGAGTGCTCACAGCATTTCACTAACCCTAAAAGAACATCTGCCTTACGTTTCTGTTGGCATACTTGAAACAAGACAGTCACCCTAACACAACACTAAATACATGAGATGTTGCTTCAGCTCTGTAGGAAAGGAAACATGAACATGACCAGCTTCTGAGTTACTGAGGACATTTAAAACAAAACTAACTGGATCTCCTCATCTTGTGTTCATGAAGAGTAGAAAAGATGGGACTCAGCGCTGCACTGATGATTTAATCACAGTTAGTAGGTAAGTTCTCATAATTCGTGCCTATAATTTAGATGTTTTGGTTGACTCCTGTGGTGACTAGCATTTAGTATGTTCACACAGTTTATATGTAATGATTCTACACAAACTATCATGTGTTGGCTGTTCTTGCTACAGTAGATGTGTTTTTTTTCCTGTTTGGAGAGTGTGTTTGTACAGTGAGTCTTAGTTGTGTGTGTGTGGCTGGTACGACCTTTAACCAGAGTCCCAGCTACACACACATGCACGCTTATGTTTTGTTTCATATATTCTGTATTTGTCTGTGAACCGTAGGGTTGTCACGGTATGAAAATTTAACCTCACGGTTATTGTGACCAAAATTATCACGGTTTTCGGTATTATCGCGGTATTTTTTAAACGGTGTTGCATATGTTCAGAAAGCATTGATAGTCCTGTTCTACACAAACTGAAATAGTTCTGAAAAGGTTTAACAGTGTTTATTAAACCTAAAATAACACAAAGCCTTAGCAAAAGTGCAACTTTTCACAAGTAAAGGAACAAATAGCTTATTTTTCTGGAACATGTTACAGTAGTCAGTGCAGGTTTAAATTATACAAATCCAAACATTCAAAACATAAACAATATGTAAACAAATCAAAGAAACACCACTTGTTTTCTCATATACTTGTTTTCTTCATTATCAAAATGAAAATCTAAAACTCCAGTCCACACTTGACTTGAGCACTGTACAAGTCGACCTTAAAAAATATGTATTTAAAATAAATATCCACTTTAAACAAATTACTAAAATAACTACTACACTATGTAATCAAATCCAAATGTTCAAGTATAAATGGCATTGAATAAGTAAACAAATCCATGACAAGGAACTAATTGTATATTTCTCTTCATCATCAACAAATAAGATGCTTCATACAGCAACAGGGTGTCCGTGACACGGTTTAAATGCTGGCAGAGGACGCTGCTGCTGCAGTATATAGTGACTCGTTGCATTCTCCCTCAGCCAAAAGTCCTCACGTCATGCATTTCAGCTAAAATGCTAATGTTAACTTACCTTGCACTGGCTGTGGAGACGTGGGTGATCGTCACGCAGATGTGCCATGAGATTTGAAGTGTTGCTGCCTTCTGCAGACACTTGTTTCCTGCACGTTCTGCAAACGGGATAGCCGTCTTCTATTAACTGTCCCTCAGCATTTTTCAGAAATCCCAAATATGCCCATACTTCCGATTTAGTCTTCTTTGAGGGCTGATGGATGTCCTGGGCGCTGCCGTCGCCTCCTTCGGCCATTATTTCAGCTTCAAAGTTTTGGTGCTGTTGCAAATTAAAAAGTGCGTGTGCGCGCAGCGGGAACTTCAGCTGAAGCGACGGTGGCTGGTAAGGGTCATCGCGCCGAAACCGCGGCCACGGTAAACCCACCGAGATAATATAGTTTTTTAAAAACTGGACGGTTATTTTTATTGTCAACTTTTTTACCGGGGTTTACCGCTATACCGGTTACCGTGACAACCCTAGTGAACCGACACGTAGAGCATGTGAATTTGTTTTCATGGCATTGGTGATCTCAGTAAACATTCTGCTCACCTGAGTGGGTTTTCTGCGTTCTCCAGCTCTCCAGTTGCTCTGGCTTCTGTAAAACGGCCAGTTGGGTTGCTTTTGACCAGGTTTAGAGAGTTTCACCATCCTGAGCTGAAGAATAGTAAACATGACTGCGGCAAATGAAAAGTCTGGCTCAGGTAAGCTATAAAGGACAATGACTTCAATAGTGTTATGTATTTTGCTTTTAACTGTTAAATATTTAAAGGGATATCTCGCCTAAAAATGAAAATTTGTCTGACATATTTCCCAGAGTTGGATAAGGCCTAGTCCACACGTAGTCAGGTTTTTTAAAAAACGAATATCCGCCCCTCCAAAAACTTGCATCCACACCACCTCGTTTTAAAAAAAAACTCTGTCCACACGTACCCGGATAAATACGTTGTTAAGGACATGTCAGACCTGTAGGCGGCAGTACTTCCCCCGTTCTTAACCTCGTCCTTCGTCTGTGGTCTTCCGCAAGGAGCAGTAATTCCACTTGCAAAAACAAACAAGCAAAAAGCGCTTGGACAATTGATAAAGCGAGCGCAGCTCTGAGGGAATCCATGCTGTCGGCTAGTGTAAACACAGGTCGCACACGTGATGTCAGCATTTTTTTGTCGCGGAAAGTGATGTTGCGGACCTTAAAACTCCGGTTTTGTCTGTCCACACGCAGACACCCAAAACGGAGAAAACGCAGATCTTCACTTTGGCCGGAGTTTTTAAAAAGATCCGTTTTCGTGTGAAAAAACTCAGTTTTCGTGTGGATGACAGGCCAAAACGTAGAAAAATATCTACGTTTTGGCAGATCCCCGGTTATGTGTGGACAGGGCCTAAGTGGGGAAGCCCAGGCGTTCTCCTGATCCAGCTGTACTCCGTTCGCTTTAGCTTGGCATAAAACACTAAGTGAATGGATCCAACAAGCATGAGTAAAAAAAGTCCTTAAAATCACACAGTTGCCATCCTAGTTCTGCTTGCTGCCCTGAATAATCAGACTGACTGCAACTGAAAATAATTGGTAAATTAAAGGATCCTCAGGCACCATTTCAGACTTGGGACTACTTTATGACAAAGCACAGCTGTAAGCCTCTGCTGGCAGCCCCAAAGACACCTGCTTCAGTAAACACAGATGCACACATTAGCCCTGCTGGCACCTTATAAATGTGCCATGCTGGCATGGCGTAGAGCGCATTTTATGGCATCCATTATGCTTCGCTTGGTAGTAATATTTCTGTAATTGTCTGACTTATAAATGTTAACTGCCCCTTAGCGCAATAGAGGGAGGTGTCAGTAGGACGTGGGGAGTTACTGCCGAGCTCCGGCCAGCGACTACATTGAAAATGAAAGCAAACACGGGCCATAAGTTTTGCTTTTTGATGGCAAACAGGAACGCTGCAGTGCTCCTGGGGCTTCTCTACCTATTAGAGCTGGAGCTCCGATCACCAGAGAGTGCGGAGGACAGCGCAGAGACCGCCCCCTTACCCCCTTTATGCCATAATCTCCTAATCTTTATAAAAAGGACATGATCTTGCCGTATAACCGCCATGGTCTGACCACTTCTAAACAACCTAAGGCTACCTGATGCCGCCACAGCATTGCTGCAAATTAATGGTAATGTTTTGTTAAAATAGGTGTTGTTGGCAAACCGGCATAAAATACACACACACACACACACACACACGCACACGCACACACACACATCATGTTCATGTGTCTTTGGTGCTGCTTTGCACCTTCCAGCGGAGGCCTACAGCTGTGCTTTGTCACAAAGTTGTCCCAAGTCTAAAATGGTGCCTGTGGTTCCTTTGTTACTAATTTTCACTGGCAATCAGTCTGATTATTTAGTTCACCAAGCAGAACTGGGATCACTACTGAGTAATTTTAAGGATGCTTTTACTCACAATACTAGTTGGATCCATTCACTTTGTGTGTTTTATGCTAAGCTAAAGCGGAAAGAGTACAGCTGGAGCAGCAGAATGACTGAGCTGGTTACAAATGGCTTTTTCCCACTTATTTTACTCTGGGAAATATGTAACAAACAGAAATTCAATTTTGAGGTGGAATATGCCTTTAATAGGACATTTGGGTGATATTGGGCCTGCTAAGCTACTGCAGGCAAATTTTCAACTGTTGTCCAGTGTAGTGTTGTCAAAAAAATCGTTACCTAGATATAAATCGAAACTAAAAGTGGTATCTAAATTAGATATTCCATCTCTGTGGTATCAATATTATGGACTATAATACACAGCCTTCTTCAAGTACACCGACACGCACGACAGCCAGATGCCGTAAAGCAACCTCCGCCTCCCAGACAAAGAAGAAGAAGACGCCGCATGGCTACATTGCAATTTCCCACGCGAGTTGTCTCCATGGTCCGAAATTAAATTTTTTACTCACCGGTCTACCGGCCAAGCATATTTTTTACCGGCCAAAATTCTAAATGATTTAGATCTACCTAAAGCATGTTATTCTATATTATGTTGATTCCAAACAGAGTGACAAAATAATTAAAACATCAATTAATAAGGAGAACAACTCTTTTGTCATTTTTACTATTTATTTATTTTTAGAGATGTTTTTATGAACCCTTTCATTGAAATCTAGTCAGACTCCTTGTTTTCTCTGTCCATGAAGTCTGGCCTCCTGCTTCTGACACCGTCTTTGTGCCAAAGCATTACAGCCTCATTTAGGTCATAGTCCTTGATCTCTGGAGAACACAGCTGCACCATGAGAATATCTGAAAGTGTGTCAGGGCTAGGGTTGTCACGGTAACCGGTGTAGCAGTAAACCCCGGTAAAAAAGTAGACAATAATATTAACCGTCTTGTTTAAAAAAAAAAAAATTATCTCGGTGGATTACCGTGGCTGCGGTGTAGGCGCGGTGACCCTTACCAGCCACCGTATCATCTGGAAGTTGCCGGCGGCACATGCGCACTTTGTTGTTTATGACCAAAACTTTCTTTAAGCTAAAGCTGAAATAATGGCCAGAGGAGACGGCACTCGGGACATTTATTATCCCTCAAAGAAGACAAAGTCGGAAGTATGGGCATTTATTGGATGTTTGAAGAATGCCGAGGGACAGTTGTCTGTGAAAGGCAGCAACGCTACGTGGCCATCATAATATAGCCTGTCTCACGACTCCGTCACCTCCAGTTCGCCACTTTTCACAAAATCTTCTGGTTGCCACTGGTCCTGGTGGTCTTTCTTACAGTTCGACGAGTTTTCTTTTGGAAGGCTGGCTGACTCCAGTTAAAAACCGCCACATTTCACCGCTAGTTTTAACACGAAGCTAACTGCTAACTTGATAAACTGATTGAATGGGATAGGTGGAAATGACGTTGGATGCGGCGCTCACGTTTCGCGTACGTTTGTGTACGTTGCATGCAGGCGGGAGGAGTATCAGAAATCCATGGAAGATGACTGATAAACATAACTAATTTGGTGCAAATATTTACTCGCCAGGTGGCAGGTAGAGCTCAAAAATTTACTCGCCAAATGGAGCAATTTACTTGCATTTGGCGAGTGGCGAGTGTTAATTTCGGACCCTGGTTGTCTCCGATCCAAGTTTTGTCTGCCAAATAAATAAACAAAAACATAAACAGCGAATTTGGGAGGCGCTTCACAGCCCAACTTAATTAGCATACCAAGTCCGGCACGTAGTTGTATATTCACGCTTATGTGCTTAAAGGAAAACTCCCGTTTATTGCAACCCGGACTTAATTTCTAGCATGCAGTACATTTGTTTACTCGCTGACAACTTTGGTGCTACTTGGATTTCCCGGGGTATTTACCGTAGGTCCATCGGCGAGTCGCCGTCAGTGTATATTAGGGATGCACCGATCAGGTTTTTTGCTGCCGATCACCGATACCGATATCAAAGAATGCTGATCACCGATACCGATCACGTTGATTGGCCAGAAATTTTCTACAACATCATAATGAGTGGTACAAACTACATAATCTGGGAAAAAAGGAAATGTAACCTAATCTTCGACGTGGGTCGGGCCGCGGCGGTGGTCTCGCGATACTCTATCGATACTCTATTGCGAGACTTGGAAGGTCCTTCCCGTAAACCTTCCTCCTCTCACCACTCTCGAATGCCTCGCCTGTCAACTCTCCGGCCCGACCCCCACAATAATTGTCACTGTTTATCGTCCCCCCAAGTTCAGCCCTGAGTTTTTAAATGAACTCTCTGCTCTTTTATCCCATCTGTCCGCCCTTTCCCCAAATGTAATTTTACTTGGTGATTTTAATATTCATATGGACAATATGGCCCTCCCCGTCAGCAAAGACTTCTCCTCATCTTTGGACAGCCTCAGTTTTCATCAATATGCCAATTTTCCCACTCACATTAAAGGTCACACCCTGGATTTAATCTGCTGCTCCGGTCTGACCCCCTCCAACTGTACAGCTGACCCGCTCCCTTTCACAGACCACTTCCTCATCTCCTTTTCTGTTCCCCTCCGTCTCTCCATCATCAAGTCACCACTATCATTTCTTTTCGTAATATTAAGGACATTGATCTAGCCTCCCTGTCCTCCAGTTTTGCCACCCTGACCCCTAATTTGTCCTCTACTCCCGATGATCTTGTCATTCAGTACAATAACGGTCTGGTTTCTATCCTTAATTAATTTGCTCCCATCAAATCCCGCTCTGTATATTTTACTCGGTCTGCTCCATGGTTCACCCCTGCCCTACGCTCCTTGAAAGCTACCAACCGGTCTCACCATCCATAAAGACTTATATTCTGCTTTGATTTCTCTCTACAAGGACTCCGTCTCCCATGCCAAATCTCAGTATTACTCCCGTCTCATCTCGTCCAACTCCAGCAACACTAAGGCATTATTTTCCATCATTAACAGCATTTTTCAGCCTCCCGACTCCTTACCCATCCATCTTTACTCTTCAGAAACCTGTAACTCTCTCCTTCAGTTTTTTAATGATAAGGTCAATAGAATCCATCTCTCTTTACCTCATTCCTCCCCTCCCTCTCCTGATTTATTTGAACCCTCCATTCAGTTCTCCTCCTTTGAACTTCCCCATCCCTCAGAAATATTAGATTACATCACCAAATCCAAACCTTCAACCTGTCAACTGGACCCTATTCCAACAGTTTTAGTTAAATCCTGCCTTTCTTCTCTGCTCCCTTTTATAACAGCCATTATTCATTCCTCACTATCCTCTGGTACGGTCCCCTCCCTATTCAAATGCGCTTCAGTCAGCCCTATTCTAAAAAAACCTGGTTTAGATCCCAATGATTTCAATAACCTCCGTCCCATTTCCCATCTTCCCTTCATTTACAAAGTCCTAGAGAAAACTGTTGCATCTCAGCTCCATTCCCATCTCACCCGCAATAACCTTTATGAACAGTTTCAGTCTGGCTTCCGTCCCCACCACAGCACAGAAACAGCTCTCATCAAGATCACTAACGACCTACTCGTTGCTGCTGATTCTGGTTTAATCTCTATTCTCATTCTCCTCGATCTGAGTGCAGCCTTTGACACCATTTCTCATTCCATCCTCCTCAATAGACTCTCTTCCTTAGGCATCACTCACACCCCCCTCCGCTGGTTTCAATCTTACCTTACTGGCCGCACTCAGTTCATCCAGTTAAAATCCTTTACCTCAGAACCCTCCCCAGTCAAGTCAGGTGTGCCCCAGGGCTCTGTCCTGGGGCCCCTCCTCTTCATAGTATACCTCCTCCCTATTGGCAAAATCTTTCGCAAATTCAATATCCAGTTTCACTGCTTTGCGGATGACACCCAGCTCTACATTTCCAGTAAGCCCAACTCAACTCTCCCACCATCCTCCCTTACACTCTGCCTCTCTGAAATCAAATCATGGTTCACCTCTAATTTCCTCAAACTCAACGGCAATAAAACTGAACTTCTTCTAGTTGGCACTAACTCCACCCTCTCAACATCTGACAGCTTTTCTTTAACAATTGACAGCGCCATAGTCTCCCCCTCCCCTCACGTCAAGAGTCTGGGTGCCATTCTTGACAGCTCACTTTCTTTTCAAGCTCACATTAATAACATAATTCGGTCAGCATACTTCCATCTACGTTCCATAAACCGTCTCCGTCCCTCACTGACCCCTCACACTGCCGCCATTCTCGTCCACAGCCTCGTCACCTCCCGTATCGACTATTGCAATTCACTTCTTTATGGTCTCCCCAACAAACTCCTTCATAAACTGCAAATGGTCCAGAATTCAGCAGCCCGTATTATCACCAGAACCCCTTCCTTTCACCACATCACCCCGGTTCTCCAGCAGCTTCACTGGCTCCCAGTTAAATTCAGGTCCATCTTCAAAATTCTCCTCCATACCTTCAAAGCAATCCACAACCTCTCTCCTCCATATATCTCAGACCTTATAAGTATTCACACCCCATCCCGTTCACTCAGATCTTCTTCTTCCATCCATCTTGCGGTTCCTTCTGCCCGTCTCGCTACCATGGGGAGCAGAGCTTTCAGCCGCTCTGCTCCTCGACTCTGGAACTCACTTCCCCCAGACATCAGGAACATCGACAGTTTTACCCATTTCAAAACAAAACTCAAAACACACATGTTTAAATCTGCCTACAACCTCTGATATTATTGAACTGTTTCTCTCTTTGTTTTTTCTTGTTTGGGTTTTATTATTGTTTTATTGTATTTTATCACGTGTTTTCTGTAAAGTGACCTTGGGTGTCCTGAAAGGCGCTTTTAAATAAAATGTATTATTATTATTATTATTATTATTAATAATCTAAAATGGTCTGTATTAGGGTTGTCACAGTGTGAAAATTTAACCTCACGGTTATTGTGACCAAAATTACCACGGTTTTCGGTATTATTTCGGTATATTTTTTTAAACGTGCTACATTTTCACACAATTAAATAAACCCTGTATGTCAGGAAATATTGTCCTCAGTTTGTGTCTAATTTTTGCCTAAAATGTGTTATTTTGTAATTATGTTGTTTATTTGTTTACATTTTTCCCTTTAGTCTTTAAAATACCAATATTTGCCCATAACTTCTTATTTCATGTCTGTTTGATGTCATCATTTTAAAAATATTAGATCAGATGATACTCAGTACTCAAAGTAGCCTTCTAATCAGATACTTTTTTTTAACCCTTACATGAATAATAAACCGTATATCAGGAAAGTATTGTCCTCGGTTTGTGTCCTTCCAGTGAGCTTTGCAGATGTGGGAAAATGTCATCAGGCAGTAATCATTGTTAAATTCATAATTATTCTCGGAGAGAGACCAACTCTTATCTGCCCCTGGGAGCCCCGTAATGCATAACGTCATTTCAACATGGCGGTGTCCGCGACGCGGTTTATATGCAGGTAGCGGCGCTGCGGCTGCTTTATATAGCGACTAGTTGCGTTCTCCCTCAACCCAAATCCTCGGATCACTCATTTTAGCTAAAACGCTAACGCTAACTTGCCTTGCGTTGACTGCAGAGTTGTGGGTGATAGTCACGCAGATGTGTCATGAGATTTGAAGCGTTGCTGCCTTTCACAGACACTTTTTCTGCACGTGCTGCAAACAGGATAGCCGTCTTCTATAAACTCCCTCGGCATTCTTCAAATATCTAAAATATGCCCGTAATTCCGACTTTGTCTTCTTTGAGGGATAATAAATGTCCTCCTGAGCGCTGCCGCCTCCTCCTTTGACCATTATTTCAGCTTTAGCTTCAAAAAAGGTTTGGTTGTAAACAACAAAGCGTGCATGTGCCGCCGGCAACTTCAGCCGATGATACGGTGGCTGGTAAGGGTCACCGCGCCGACACCGCAGCCACGGTAAACCCACCAAGATAATATAGTTTTTTAAAAAACAAGACGGTTATTATTGTAAAGTTTTTTTTTGTTTTTACCGGGGTTTACCGCTACACTGGTTACCGTGACAACCCTACGGCTTATCGGTCTGCTTTGATCTATTTTGAAAATTCCGATCAAAACCGACAGGGGCGCTATCGGCCGATTACGATCAAATGCCGATCCATCGGTGCATCCCTAGTGTATATCCATATAACGGGTGCGGACGGGCACCCATGGTGCAGCCTCGAAATAAGACATTATCTGCACCAAAACATCTTCACGTCGAAAGGTTTTGTTGGGAATCATTAACGTGATTCCCCTGTTAGTTTGGAGCGAGTCTGGGATTTCTAGGCATAAACAGACTAGCTGCGGCTACTTAACTGGCGCTTTTAATGACGTCACTGCCGTGCGCCAATCTGTTTTTATTAAGATTACCTTTGTACTACTGTGGAGAAATTTGTTTTCTCCCTTTATTGACCAACAGAGTTGTTCAAAAGTACAGAACAAAACATTTGGCATTACAGCTTATGACAAAAATGCACCTTAAACAGAGTTTAAGCAGCAAAACATCACTCTGCAAATAGCTTATATATAGTGAGACAATTAATGATTTAAAGTGTTAACTTTCGCCAGTTTTTGTATGCATGTAAAAAAAAATGCTGATACTTGAAAGGTTTAAGCACTTTATACACTTAATTCTTAACATTTAATTTTTGCAATATAAATTGAGGAATGTTATTTTTTGAATAAACTTGTTCAATAAATTGGTGTTTTTAAATAGTATCGAAATCGAGTATTGAGTTTTTTCCCCAGTATCGAATCAAGTTTGAAATTTTAGTATCGTGACAACCCTAGTCCAGTGGCAAGATGTTATACTAAGCGCGATGGCTAAGGAGTCCCCCATTACCAATATTTCCTTCCCTGAGCTACATTCCTTTAGAACAGTTTCTAATTTGTCAAAGAAAATTGCTTTAGCGGACGGTGGTCTATACACTCCAATGATAAAAAAGGACATTTGTGGTGACAAGCTAATATTAAGGCAGATATGCTCAAGCTCATTAACTGAGCAATGAACCTATTTACATGATATATGATCTTTGATATAAACAGTAACCCCCCACCTTTACCAGTCTTTCTATCTTTCCTAAAAACATTATAGCCAGGAATATGTAGGGCTGCAGATGGGGAGTTTTTATTTAACCAAGTTTCTGATAAACATAGAAAGTCCAAATTAAGAGTCCCTACGTACATGTTTTATCTCATCACTTTTAGAACTCAAACTATGGATATTCAAGTGACCTCCCAGTAGCCCACTGCTGCTAGAGAACATTCACATCTGTCTCCTTTAGTACAAAAATTCCTCTTTTCACACAAGTTTTACAATACTTACAATTCTATCTATCTATCTCTCTATCTCTCTCTCTATCTCTCTATAGCCCCCTTCAGACAGGCCATGAAAAACGGAAATGTTCCGGACTCTGTCCGTAAGACCTTTGTGTCTGAATACAAACATCCGGATAACGTGTTCCGGAATTTTAACCGGACGAAGCCCCTAGTAACAGGTCCGGACTTGTTACGGACAGGGTGGCTGATTCAGACTGGTGAGGTAAAGTTCCGGACAAGGGGGAGGGGGAGGAGGGGGGGCCGGGGGACGCCGTGCGCACCTAGATAGCCCGCTGCTGTAGCATGCGGCGAACCATGGCAGCTCGCCTCCTACGGTACCGCCTAGACGCGCGACGGAGCGCTTCACACCGCTTCAGTGATTCCTTTAACCATTGAGCTTCATCATCCAGGTCTCTTATGCGTCTTCGTGTGCGCAGAATTATGCTTAAGCGCCTCGTGATTTTTATCTTGAGAGGCGCTATAGAAATGATATTTCTTCTTCTTCTTCTTCTTCTTCTTCTTCTCTATCTCTATATATATCTATCTCTATATATATAGCTCAGCTCCATAGACATGGATAGACCCCTCTTGACCGCTACTGCCTATGGGTGCTGACCAGCGGTGGCGCCACCATCTTGGATCGGTCGAGCTGCCCCCTCCCCCTCAACAGAGGCATTGAAGTGTCAGCATGTTCAATCAACCATAACTCCTTGAGTTCTGAGTCGACTATTCTCTGTAAACTTCACACATGCAGCTCTGATACAGGACACATGTTTTAGTGTTTTTAATCATAGTGGGTGTGCTGTGGTTACATATGTGACTCTTGTCCAGAGCTTAGTGTCAAAACTTATAGAAAACAAAAGATTAATCACTAAAAGTTTGTCAAACAATGAGCGGCTGTGTCTGACTGCTGACGCTCTGTGTGTGGTTTTATTTCTGCAGTGAGACAAACTCGCCTCACACTGTCCAGAGTTTGTTCTTTAAAGTTTCTATTAAATCCACCGTGTTGACGTATTTTAACAAGTTTCCTCTACGCTGCAGGAATAAAGTTTACAGACTAAAAGTTCGGCAGACGCATTTGTTTATATTTGGCCGCTGGGTGGGGGGAGGGGGGACTTGGTGCTGCACACTGACAGCTGGTGTGATCAGATATGAAAAGCGTTGATCACAATTTGCAGATCATGTTTATTTTTCACGGAGGTCAGCCGCGGATTCTAGGAATCAAAATGAAAAACTTTGAACGATTCCTGGAAAAACTAACAGTTGGAACCGGTTCCAGTCGATGCTCGATGCCCAACCCTAGCTATATCACAGAGTAGTAGGGCTGGACAAAAAATCGAACATTTATCGTCATCGAAATTTCTGACTTATCGAGATAATTTTTCCCATGTCAATAAATTTGATGATAAAAACATGAACAGATGTGTGTAGGTTGGCAACGTTCATGTCCCTTTAAGAAGCTGTACCACCTTGAGTCACGTAAAAATGTGACTCAACGTAATACGTGTCACAGCCCCATCTAGTGGACAACTTTAGATTCTGAGCATACCTCTAGTCCATTTATCGTTATCAAGGTGAAATCCTCAATATATCGTGATATTGGCTTTAGGCCATATCGCCCAGCCTTACAGGGTAGGCTAGCCATCGCTTCTCTGCATCCAGCACCTGCTTAAAATTTCAGACGGCTCAGAGGAGTTCTGAGTGCTCTGTCTGAGTCACCGCGGCGCAGCTTAGTGAAAGGCTGAGTGGAGGATGCTTTTGTCACTGCATCTCGTTAGGTGCTGTTTCAACCAAATTTTTAAAATCAGTCACTCTTGCATGCACTCTTCTGCACCTGTTGGCCGTGGTTCCACTGGACTGTGTCTGTGACATATGACAAACTGGCTCCCACAGCTTTTCAGCGTGCTGTTGATAGCGAGGTGCGTTAAGAATAGTTTAAGATTAAGTGCATTTTGAATTGAAATTTCAATTTTGCTTGTAATTTTAATTATTTAAAATTTCACAAAGGAAATGTTTATTTACACATCTTTATTGTGAGGGGAAAAACACACTAATCTGAGGCCATAACACTTTTCACCTCGCGCACCCCCTAGCGGCAGCTCGCGCACCTCCAGGGGTTTGTGCACCACACTTAGGGAATCCCTGTTCTAAGAGAAGAATAAATATTTATAATTTAAACAGAATGACACAAAAATAGCTACATTTTCTCTAATCTGTCATCTTAAAACCATGTGACATTTTTCACATGTTCAGTTTACAAAGTAGAATGTTGGACGATGTCAGTTTTACTGAAACTGAAATTTGCTTGATTGTTGTTTTAAACTGTACTAATTAGGGATGTTCAGATCACGTTTCTTTGCTCTTGATCTGATTCAGAGTCATTTGATTTTAAGAATCTGCTGATACTGAGTCCCTATCCGATACTTTAGAAATACATTTAGAAAAAAGGAGAACACACAAGAGTTGTCATTAAGGTTTTTTTAATTGTTAATGTGCTTCTTTCTTTCTGTATTTATGTCATATCTTTAGTTTATGTGCCATAAAACATCACTTGTTTAGGAAGTACATTAATAAGAAGCAGGTTAATATCAAGATGATATGTAAAAATAAATGGTAATTTAACATTTAATTTAATAAGAAACATGTTAAAGTCTCTTTCCGGAGTATTTCTCTTATCTGATGGCACCATCTAGTGGCTGACAAGCATATCACGCAAATTATCTCTGGGTCCGTTTTTTTAAGATGGTGTCATCACAGTTTTTAGTTTTAAATGTGCTTCTGTAGCCGACAGTTAAACACGTTGTTTTACAACTCTTATTCTCATGTCATGTTGTGTTTTCATATGTTTATAAACTTACTTGTCCATGAAAAGTTCATCAACTCTGCATCAGCTGAGGTTTTCCTTAAATTTGAAGCAGGCGAGCGGTAGTCTAACGCTATTGGTTAGTTCTGGTCGGCGCTCAGTTTCCTATTGCACAGAGCTCTGCGTGGCAGGGGGCGTATTGCTTACATTATATCACAGTACATGACGAGATAATCACTTTTACGGATTTCTGAAAAATACATAATTTCTGAAAGGGGAAAACTCCGGAAAGATACTTTAATATTAAGAATACATTTAAAAGTTGTCTGGTGACTCATATTTTTAATCGTTCACTCAGTGTGTTGCTGTTTTCAGCGACAGGGATGGCACGGCACATGATGGTCAGAAGCAGAGTAATTATTTTTCTACAACACACCTGTAGAGCTTTCATGTCTGTAAAGGTAGCATAAGAAAGAAGATCGTACCGCGACTCGTGAGACTGCAGAACCTTTGCAACCACAGACACTCATCCAGTGGGATAAATATACTGCTATCTTGGAATTTTTGCTGTCCGTAGAACTGCAGTGAAGTTAGTTTGACGTTGGATATTCGACAGACATTCACTCCACGGTCAGCGATGGGTCTGCCTGCCGTGTGCAAGCGCCGCAGATGGTGGTTAGCTGCGTTCTGAGGACTCGCTCATTAGATTGGTGGTTTGCTTAGGGACCATCAACTAATTTGCTGTCATTTCACGATGATAAAGATGAATTCACGGACATCTTTAACATCTGTCCCTGTCCCTGTCACCATTGTCCCTGTCCCTAAGAAACCCTGTATCACTGAACTGAATGATTACAGGCTTGTGGCGCTGACGTCTGTAGTCATGAAGTCTTTTGAGCACCTGGTCCTCCCTCATCTCATGTCCTTCACCTCCCCCCTCCTGGACCCTCTGCAGTTCGCATACAGAGCTAATAGGTCTGTAGACGACGCCATCAACCTGGCCCTCCACTTCATCCTGCAGCACCTGGACTCCCCGGGAACCTACGCTAGGATCCTGTTTGTGGACTTCAGCTCTGCGTTCAAGACCATCCTCCCTGCTCTGCTCCAGGACAAGCTCTCCATGCTCAACGTACCCACCTCCACCTGCAGGTGGATCACTGACTTTCTGACAGACCGTAGGCAGTGCGTGCGGCTGGGGAAGAATGTTTCCACCACTAAAGCCGGGCGTACACTGTGTGACTTTTTCACTTTTTTGAGCCGATTTTCCAGTCGTGCGAGAATCCACGACATCGGGGCGAGTTTTGCGCCGAGCGTCGTGTAGTGTACAGGGGGTTACGAGAGGCGATTAACACCACGTGAACAGCAACCGATCAGCAGTCGTGAGGTCGGACGGACTTCTGGCGTGTTTAATATTTTGCTCGTCCCTCGTGAGGGTATCGCACTGTTGAAGCGGCGCTGCGAGCAGCTGCGACCCAAAAAGTATCAGAACCGCTCACGGCGCATGCGAAATCATGCATCAACACCGCTCGCTCGCTATTTCCCTAATAACACACGTTGTTCATTTTTGTTTCTACACGTTTTTTTACTCACAAAGATTGTCAAGTGTTTGTCGTGTTTGTCGTGTTCATGTCAAATTAAACTGATCACAAACACAGATTTACTTTCTTTATTTCGTTTTCCTCATCCAACCCCCATAAATCCCTGTGTGTCCTCCTGCAGCACTCCCAAAGGACAACAGGTGAAACAAGACCAAAAAGTCTGACGTGTTGAGTAAAAACTGCTATTTTTAGCATATTTTTAGGGCCGACGTGTTGCTACCAGATGTACAGTGTGAGCAGTCAGGTCGCATGCGAGAACTAAATAAATAAAGCTTTGATTGATTGATTGATTGATTGATTAACTGGGTCTTACAGTGTGAGCACATGACTCGTGAGATCTGCTCTGCGAGGAAGTCGTACAGTTTGAGCTGTAGCTGAACGCTGCGTGTGAAAAAGTCGCACAGTGTACGCCCGGCTTAAGACAATTAGCACAGGATCTCCACAGGGCTGTGTACTTTCTCCTCTGCTCTTCTCCCTGTACACAAACTGCTGCACCTCGAGCCATGACTCCGTTAAACTGTTCCAAGTTTGCGGACGACACCACCCTCGTTGGGCTCATCTCTGACGGTGATGAGTCCGCCTACAGGAGGGAGGTGGATCGGCTGGTGTACTGGTGCAGCAGCAACAACCTGGAGCTCAATGCTCAGAAGACAGTGGAGATGATTGTGGACTTCAGGAAAGTCACAGCCCCATCTCTCCCCCTTGTCCTGACGGACACCCCGTCACCACTGTGGACTCCGTCCGCTTCCTCGGAACCACCATCACACATGATCTTAGGTGGGAGCCGTCCATCAGCTCCCTGCTCAAAAAGGCCCAGCAGAGGATGTACTTTCTGCAGCAGTTGAAAAAGGCCAAGCTGCCGGCCCAGATGATGGTGCAGTTTAACACGGCCATCATTGAGTCCATCCTCACCTCCTCCATCGCTGTGAGGTACGCTGGAGCCACAGTGAGGGACAAACATAGACTGCAGTGCATTGTGCGCTCTGCTGAGAAGGTGATTGGCTGCAGCCTTCCACCTCTCCAGGACCTGTACGTCTCCAGAACTCGGGGGTGTACAGGTCGGATAGCAGCTGACCCTTCGCACCCGGGTCACAGACTTTTTGAGCCGCTTCCCTCAGGCAGGAGGTTATGGTCCATCCGGACCAGAACCTCCTGCCATAAGAACAGCTTCTTTCCATCTGCCGTTAGACTTGTGAACAGATTATAAACACAACCATGCTGGTCTTCTGTACTCAACACAACGTCACGTTATCGGCCATGTTACCATTACCTGTCATTTTT